CAATCAATCGTTGTTAGAACACCATGAGAAACCTGGAAGCACTGGACGGCCGTTTCGTCCTGGTATAGGACTCATCAGCAGTGCACATCCACGACTCCTGCACCTCGCAGGATTCGGGCCCGGTGCCTTTGGCCTTTTGTGCGAACGCCTAACATCTGGACCGTTGGGCGTCATCCAGGGGTGTTAATGACTAACTCTGATTGATTAAGGGATTTTGCGCGACCTCACCCATTTGTCTTCGGTAGTTATTGCCTATACCCGACAGGGTTAAACCACACTAGTCACGTCTTCTGATTAGAACTCCGAGAACTTCCTCACGAAGCTAGTCACTTGTGAGCACATTGTACGATATTTTCAATTAGAGTTACGGATATTAGTGTTTTTACACATTTGAAATCACCAATCAATCGTCCGAATCCTGAGAGTTACAGGAGTTTTGGATGCGCACTGTTGATGAGTCCCATACCAGGACAAAACGGCTGTCCACTGCTTCCAGGTTTCTAATGGTGCTCTAACGACGATTGATTGATGATTTCAAATTAAGTTTAATATTTCATTGTGTTTCTGTCCCCTGTATACAACGAAACATTGTTTGTACTTCGTTTCTCAGAGTTTTATGATGAAGCATCTCATATGGAAAATAGTTTTCTCATTTTATAAACTGTTTCTCATTGTAACCCGTTCATTTTAATGGTTGCCATAGTAACTATTGAATATATGTTTTCTACATGAAAACTATAATTGTTCATGTTATTTAAATACTTGTAAAAATTCAACATATCTGTTTAGCTATATTTGTAAATTTTCACTGATTAACATGGTTAGCAAATGTTTCATGTCCGCCCAAAAGTGAACCTAGCTCGTTGGGCGATAATTAGTAGCGTAGCAGTAAGTTAGGGGCAGCCAAACTGATAGATGAATTCGATGAGTCTAACTCACGTTTGTCGATGTAGATAACTTGGTTAAAGTCAGTATCCTAGTTATCATCATCAGTGGTTTAAAACTTTGAGTGACATGATTCAGAAGCAATCACGACAATGTCGATGCATTTACTCATTAGCATCATTGATAAGTTGTTATATTCCTTCATACATAACTTTTCATTAGGACTTCTTCTCAAACTACATTCTCACCATTTAGTCATTCTTTTTCTTACTGCTACTGTAGTAAACGAGAACGCAGGTGGGGTTACACAGTTACTCAGTAAAATCGGAAAACCATATCGTAAATCGTTAATTTGCAAAATATCAGTTCATCATATCGAACTGGACTGTTCCTGTTGCAAAACATCAACATCACTATTCATGCGTTTTATACAAATTCCATTGTGTTCTAACTCTTCCTTTCTTGATCTTCCCCCATCTTCTGCTGCCAGACATTACGTTGACACTCACGTCATATACTACTTATAAGTAGCTCGCACTACACTACTACGTTATTTGAACTTTTTTTAACATTTATCTTGTCAGTTTCATTTTATTCAGCGGATGTGATATCGGGACTTGGGCCTAACCTTATTCAGGATTGATTAACTCATTTCTATTATTTCAAGAATGTTACACCACGTTGGAAAAAAGTAGTGTGTACATATTACTGATTGTATAGTTGAACAAATAACAAAAATCATGATAACTAAATAATTTATTTTCAAAATTTTGGAAAATAACATTTATTTCAAATTAATACTAACTTATTTAAATACTTGCAAAGTTTTCCTCTATTCATTATTGAGCTTTTGAATCGAAAATCTATCTAACGCTACACAACTTGTAATTTATTTCAAAAAAGTGAAGGGGGATAACAACCGTTCACTTAGTTCAGTCCGCTTGTATCAGATCACTCGATTGTATCAGCCTTCTTATTATTAATGTCAAATTTCTAAATTATACATCAGTTTTTTGATGTTAAACCAATATCATCATGGTATTCATAATAGAGAAGAAGTTTGTATAAACAATTGTTTCATCACAGATCATCTACACAACAAGATGAAAATAGATTTATATTAAAATTAATTAGCTTAATTATATTAACAGTTTATACAAATTAATAGTGAGGATAGACCACCATTAGAAACCTGGAAGCACTGGACGGCCGTTTCGTCCTGGTATGGGACTCATCAGCAGTGAGCATCCACGACTCCTGCTCCTCGCAGGATTCGAACCCAGGACCTTTAGCATTGTAGGCGAACGCCTTACCATCCAACCACTGGGCCGGCATCTAACGGTGTTAATGTCTAACTCTGATTGATCTAGGGAGGTGAGGTCGCGCAAAATCCCTAGATCAATCAGAGTTAGACATTAACACCGTTAGATGCCGGCCCAGTGGTTGGATGGTAAGGCGTTCGCCTACAATGCTAAAGGTCCCGGGTTCGAATCCTGCGAGGAGCAGGAGTCGTGGATGCTCACTGCTAATGAGTCCCATACCAGGACGAAACGGCCGTCCAGTGCTTCCAGGTTTCTAATGGTGATCTAACAACGATTTATTGATAATTTCAACTGTGTAAAAACGCGAACCTCAAAAAACTGTGCCCCATAATAGTAAGGTATCTAGAAAAGTCTCTAATCATAAGCCTTTGAAAATTCATTGTTTACTCTTATTCAGGAAGTAAAAAAATGTATATTATCTTGACAGTTGACAGACTTGTTCCAAGTGAAGTCCGGTGTCAGGCAAGGTTGCTTACTCCCACTGTTTTTCTTTCTCCTGGTGATCGACTAGATTATGAAGACATCAATATCTGGAGGAAAGCATGGGACACAGTGGAGAGCTCGGATGCAGCTGGACGACCTGGAATTCGTGGATCATCTATCTGGGATTAGCAAAGCAAGGACAACACCGCTACAAATGAAGAACATCTGGAACTCAAAAAAAAAAATTAAACAAAAACAAAGTCACAATTCTTAATGCAAATTTCAAGACAGTTCCATTGTATGGGGCAGAAACTTCGAGAACCACGAAATCCATCGTCCGTAAGATTCAAGTGTTTTTTAACAGTTGCCTACGCAAAATACTTCGGATCTGCTGGCCAGACAACATCAGCAACAATCTACTGTGGGAAAGAACAAACCAGATAGCAGCAGACGAAAAAATCAGTAAGAAGCGCTGGAAGTGGATAAGATACTTATAGACGAATTCAACCAACTACGTCACACACAAGACAAGCCTTCTCGTGGAATCCTCAAGACTGAAGGAGAAGTGGAAGACCAAAGAACACATTACTTCAAGAATCGAAGACAGGCATGAAAAGAGTGGACAGCAGTCAGGTAGAACTGGTGAGGAAGACCTAGGACGGAGTAGGTTGGAGAATATTGGTCGGCGGTCTATGCTCCGCTGGGAGTAACAGGAGTAAGTGAGTAAGTAAGAATAGAAATATGTTTTTTTCTGAGAATTAAAGTACCTTACTGTGTCAGTGAGTAAACGAAATTAAAAGAATTCAACTAAGAAAATTTTTTTATTTCTACAAAATCATTTACTTAGACTGCTGTACACTACTCGTATTTATAGTTGTTTGATAAATATATACGAGTCTACAGGAGGATAAAAGAAAATAGATTATCTCGAACTATGATAAAATTACGATCGGTTTTACAACAAGATATATCAAATAGTTAACTAAATCTCATTACTTTACTATGTAAGTGTAAATATTGTTTTCATGAAACTGATCATTCATACACAACAGTTAAAATCATTACAAACTGCTGATAAGAAATGTTTGTCAACGTTTAAAATTACTGCCAGTATGAAAAAATATTCCTGTTTCTAGAAAAATAAATCATATTCTCGTCCAATGGATTGCATAACCTTTGATCACGAAATTAACAGATATTTCATTCGGGTTTGACAGGTCGCAGTATTATCTAGTCATGATTCAATTGGAAATTGATCATGGGATTTTCACAAAACAACCATTTTTGTTTCAGACAACCAGTTTTTTTTGTTGTAATCTAAGAAAAAAAATAGAAATAAACTAAAAGTTAACAAGATGACAGTGTTGGTGCACAAACTTTACACATTTTTTATTAATTTTGATGTCAACAGCTCAAGAATTACGGTTTTTCATTGGTATATGAGGCATGGTTTCGATTGCCACGCATATCAAATCTTTCGTCGGTTTCTTTACTGCCTTAGCTTCTTACCTTCGACCTTATTTTATGTAGGTTTTATTCGAAATTTTCGGATAAACATAATCAAGCGTTTGTAACCAATAGAAGTTTGATGTTTCTGCCTACTGGTAAAACTGATGATCTACATAGAAGAGTGAGCCGTTAATATAAATATGTGTAAATCACTTCAGTGGAATGAAGCAACTATTGTCTGTCAATAATCTCACTGGGGAATTGCTATACTTAGTTAAAAATTATTGAACTGTTAAGTTAATTATTTTTGGTTTCAGGATTACAATGTTTACAATGTTTAAGATTTAAGGTTACAGTATTGATTTCGGATAAGGAGGAAGAGTTTAGAATTTAGAATTAAGTTAAGCGATTTAAGATTGTACATAACATTACTTATCGAAGAATAGAAAAACTTAACCCCATTTTTAAATCCCTAAATATATTAAAATTTTAAAAGTCGCTTTCTATCTAATCCTAGGTTTTTGTACTTTAATTCTAATTCTCACCATTCCTAGCAATGTCGTTCATTCATCCAAATTTGCTGTTTATTGATTGATTGACTCACTGAAAAGCAACGAGAATTTGCTCAGAGTCACTCAAGTGTACGCTCATAGGTCAGCATTTATGAATCGGAATTATAAAGCTTAATTACAGATTAATAAGACTGTATTGACTACTCTCATGGAAAGCAATTACTTTATCATTTATCTAAAAAGCGCTTTAATCAACAGTTAGTTATTAAAGCACCTATACAATTTTATATGCGTTCATTCTGATCACACCAATCGATATTTCATCATTACTGATCGATTTTACTGAAGGTCATTCTATTTAATTTTATCTTGTATATTTGATGCTTTGCTTGATTGAATATCATGGTTTATTCAACATGAATAGAATATATATGTGTATTTTTCAGAATGGAATCTAACTCAAATATATTCCATGGATTGATTGCAAGAACTTTGCGGATTTCTAATGATGATTGACTCAGGTTAAACCTATAATGCCGACTGCAAAACTAAGCCTTCGAAATTATTAGCATAGAAGAATCGGTAGAAAACTCTGTTTTAATAAAATGTTTCACTGTGAACAAACTGACGAAGCTTGCTGTTGTTGTAGTTGCAAACCACAAGATGATCTACAGAGTTTCCCGTCGAAAGCAAATGATTTTCACTGTACTCTACCATCAAATAATCTTATTCTGAAGAATAAACATTCCATGGAACGTTTACCATTGGTTTTAATTTTAGAACAAGTCCACTGTGAAAACATGCCTAATTCTTCAACCGTACAAACGAATAGTGATGTTCAACATCTTGTTCCAGGACATAATGTGTCGAATTCTGAAAATACTCTACGGACAACAAACACGTTCGATGTTGAAGATGACAACGTTGGTGATTCATCTCTTCAGCCTAATCTGCCTGACTTAACACATTCTATTCATTCACACCACAAGCTTAAGTCGCAATATGGATACGAATCACAACTCAATGAATGCATAAATCCTATATATTCAGATCAGTATCATAGAAAAACTGATCAACAACAGTGTTATTCAACAGAAATCAAGTTGTACTTAAATAATAATCGGATAACAAACTATGAAAAGGATAACTTCAGTGAAACTTACGATTCTGAAAATCTTAATGACCAAATTCAGAAAGAAATCTATCATGTGAAAGCTGTACCCTGTAAAATCATGTATACGAATCATGACAATTCGTCGCCTAAAGCTTAATATCTTACAAGATATTTCATTACCATTCATGTCAGCATCGAGCTCTGATTCTGTCGATTATACATTATCATCACAGATCATTGCAAAAAATCCAAGATAATAGTCTATAAAACGAGGATAATTTTGTGAGCAATCTTTAAAACAATCTAATTGAAAAAACATCAATCAAGCAGTATCCTCTAAAGTTGACAAATAATGTGAGAAACTGCTGATCAACATCTAACGAAATATCTGTCTTTGAAATGTGTCGAAGATTGTTCCAATTGAATATAAAAATGATTGGAAAAGGAATCAGAGTATGCTCACAGTTTAAATTATTTGAAAAAAGATTCAAGCACCAAGAGAGATGGCACTGCAAACAGAATTGCTCAACACACGAAATCATGTTTTCTAATGAAAAACATTGTTTAAAGTAACATTTTTTTACAAGTTACCATGTAGGTCATGTTATTTTAGTGAAGTTTAATTATAATTTGATTCAGTGATGAATAATAATACTCCATTAGACAACAATCGTCAGTAAAATTCCCAATTTAAGATCATAGTTTATTTTCATTCATTTAAAAATTATCTTGTGGTATCATCTATCTGTACATTTTACAGGCATAATCAGCTTGATATAAAGTACATAGTGATGTTAAAATGTAAATGACTTACTCACTTTCGCCTATCACCCCCGATGAGTCATAGGCCGCCGATCAGCGTTCACCAACCTACTTTATGCTGGACCTTTCTTTCTAGTTCTGTCCTACTGTTGTTCATTATTCTCATGCCTGTCTTCGAATCTTCAGGTAATGTGTTCTTTGGTCTACCACTTCTCCTTTGTCCTTGAGGGCTTACCTTGCAACGTAGTTGGTTGTTTTCCTCGATCTGTGTCCTAGCCACTTCCAGCGCTTTTTATTTCACATGAATTACAGCAATGCAAAAGGTCAGTAGGTCATTCTTAATTCTTTCTAAAAAGACATCCTATTCATGTATGAGTAGTGCACTTAAGGTGATTTCCAGTGTCCTAACAAACTGATTATAACCGTCAATAACTAGAGAAAATAAAAAGAAAATAGAGAGCATGGAACGATAAAAGTAATAATTACACTCATCATACTCCTCCTAGAGCTCCTCTGGGGCTACTGCCACTCCCCAACCCGAACGAAGAATGAGGGTTGGGCGTGGGGCTAGTGACCACGTCCCGCAGAAGACTAACACACTAAAAGACGTTAACCAGAAAATATAATTCAAACCATTATACATATCCCCTAGGTCATTTTATAATCTACTATTAAGTTGAGGTATTATTCGAATTAGTTAAGTTAACCTGGAACGGTGGTAAGGACGTTTAACTAGTATTATCAGTAATAAAAACAATGTGAACATTTAAAGTCCTCACAGTATCACTTACGAACCGGGACGTACGGGTGTAAGTACATGTCAGGCATTTTAGAATAAGAATGTTTCATCAAAGACAAATAGTTAAGAGTTTCTGAATACTAAGTTACTTCAGTAGATGTGAAAGGTAGTTAATCAGGCACTTTTAGGAAGATTTCAATCTAGAGAGAGAGAGAGTAAACGGTATTAGAAGAAATAGTGGGATATCCGATCCACCATATTTGAAGAAAATGAATGAAATCCAGTCTATTCCATGACTGCTTGAAATGCTCAGGTAATTTAAGTAGCTTTACTAATTTTCAGATAAGATCTTATGGAGTTACCAAATACATACATACATAATGTTTAAACCTATGCCGTTTAGGAATTTATTGTTATCTATAAAAATACCACTGAAAAGATTTTCCATGGTTTATAGGTTGTTTTTGAATGTATTGTTATTAAGAATACATAGTATATCTGCATTGTGAGATGTTCTAACATGTTTATTGAAAATAAGAATTTAGGTTTGTACTTTTCAGCTATTATTATTATTAAGTGCTGATAACTCATTATTGACTTTAAATCTATGTTTTTCTTGAATTTGGTTACAAAGTACAGTTATTTGCGTAACTAATTAGAAATCACTTGACTTAAAGTAACATTTTTTTGCAGATGTCTTAATGTATGATCATATTTAACTAGGCTTAATAGTTTTGTACATTTTAAGACATGTAAAAGAATCTAAATATAAGCCAGAGCGGTTTGATGGAATATTTTAGTGGCATCCACGAAACTATTACTTGAGAAATAAGTTTCCTGGTGTGAGTATCTTACCAGGGTATGCAGCAAGTCCATTCAACATGTTTGTAGTCTCTATATTTACTAGTTTTTTGCACACAAAGGCTTTGTGAGTGAAAGATTAGCAAAACACCAACTACTACTTTATGGTCAGTGCTTTCAAATTCAACATATACTTCTATAGACAGTGGATTGATGTTTTTGCAGAATACTAGATCTAGCATATTATTGTATTTTGCTGAGGTATGAACCCACTATGACCAACAATTTATGTTAGTCACCACTAAAAACTAATCATCATTTAAATTACCACTAATGATTTACCCGTTTCTTCCAATCATGAACTTCACTTTGGAATTTAGAGCAGATGAATATATAAATAAATTATTCATAAGTGCATTCTTATTGGCTGATATGTTTGGGGCTCCCAAGAATAGACTAAGATTCTGAGTATTGACTGATATTCATGGTGATTCAGGTAAACTAACTACTCAAGACGGATATATTTTCAATTTAGAAAAAAATATTTTAGTAACGTTAATATTTTTCCCAACAGCTTAAGATTAAGGATGGGAATGATTGAAAACATATTTTCGACAAAATATGATAATCATGTGAAGTCGTTATTATTTTGCAATAATATAACATATTCAAAAAGTTTCATTGTCAGATGAATCTTTATAGTTAACGTTGATAATTGATCAACAAGTCAGTTATCACTTTAAGTTAATGTATGTTGGCCCAAATCGTCATGCTGCTTAACAGTTCGTGCTGTTTGACTTTAGAACTACAAAACGTGGTCTTTATAGGTTAATGACATGAGTCGGCTTCAGATTTTCAACCATCTATGTCTTGGAAGTACCGCTTGTCTTTTGTGGAGTGACCTGGTTGATGATTTTGAGACCTTGTCAGTCTTTGAAGTCACTGGTTGTTGGACAGTGTTGTGTACATAAGTGACGACTAATTGGTTGAGGTTACCACCATAACACTCCATCTCATCTGTAGTTGGAAACTTTATGTGTCATGAGTCAAAATCAATCGCAATGTTGTGAATGCATTCAGTTCCCATCATCTCTTATAGAACCCAAGTATCTGAATTATCTTGTTGCAGATCTTGAGTTCCAGTTAACGCTCAAACATACCTTTTCCTTCTGTCTTTTTTTGTAACTTATTTTGAATGTTCAATCCTTCACATTTTCATTGTTACTAAAATATTTTGACTTCTTTGCTATTCATCTTGTTGACTTCACTTGATCATGTTTTTTTGACATGACGATTTGGACCAACACACACACACTTAACTAACTGTCCAACTATTAGTTAAGATCATCTCCCAGACCTCAGTCTGGCGTTATGGACCTACCCACACAGCTTGGTCTAACAGTCATTGACTTTATAAACTAGTAATACATTTTCGTTGAACTTCTCCTAACTTTAATTACAAATTATTTACACCAGGAAACGTCACACTTAGTGATTGGTAGCAGCTGAACATACATAACGCATGTTTCAACCATTTTAGTTTAATATGATTTATTACCTCGTTGATGGGTTTGCTATCCTTTATCTAGTAACTAGCGCGTAACCTCGAAATGGCTCAATTGATGTTTTCAACATAAGCAAACAATACGTCGGTGCCGCCACCTATGATAATTAGTTTTTTCGTGAAATCTACTTTAATCATTATTTTACTTTGGGAATATCATTTTATATTCAAGAACTTCAAGAATAGCCTTTGACAAATTATTATTAAATAGATCATACACTACTCACAGGTAGAAGATAATTTCATGAAGTTTCAAATTTTCAAAGGAACAATATTTATCTCATTCTGTTAGCTTTGATTATCAAATGTGAATTAATGAACCCAGCTTGTTTTATATTCTCTCTCTATCATTAACTACCTTTAGAAATTCAAACACCCATTCGATCAATTTTTCATATTGTTAAATGATCAACAAAGTAACCATCAAGTGCAGTTGAACAAGTGTTTACAGTCGTTTTGGTTTTCATTATTCATCGAAACAAATCAATTTAACCGATAAAAGTGACTCTCAGTGAAAATCTGAGCAAAGATTATTTGTGAGAAAATGACATTGAAACAACTCGTATTTCATTAAACAAAACTTCACAAAGTTTCTCAACAGAATGCTGTTCATGAAGTTCAAGTTGGGAAACACTATCATCGATTAAGTCAAATATGGTTGTGAACAAGGTATGATTTTTTCGTTTGTATTGGATAAAGGAAGAAATTCAGTATAATGCTGTGGGGAACAAATGAGACAGACTGTGTTACTGCCACCACTCACGAACGCTAACTGAACTCAGTAAATTAACTGCCATACAATTCTTGCAGAACGGATTTTGGAAATAAAAAAAGTCTTACATATTACAAAGGTGACTGCAAAGGCAGTAGGTTATGCAACTAGGAGAAACATTCTTATCAAGATAACGGACATGGCTTATAAAGTCAATCACAAGATTGAATCGCTCACATATTTGCTATGAATGTTGGAGGACCTTGAATTCCACTGAAATTTAACACACTACTGCAAAAAAAAACAATTGCATTTTCTAATATCACATCGTCTTCCGTTTACTCTTTATTCATCCACGGTGGTTTCGACATTTCATATCGATTCGAAAAATGTTTCTGTCATTTTAGAAACAAACTGTGATATTGTTCAAAATTTCAATAATAAGTTTTTATTATTTCAAAGCATGGATAGTGATAGTTATTGCAAACAGTCAACTGATAAAAATATTGAAACAAGTTCACATTGTCAACCTCCTACTCTTAAAATTCATGATGGAAGATCAGGACAACAATTATGATGTACAAAATCTCCAAATTGAATTTTTTCTCTTGGTCAGATAGATTTCAGCATAAATCTAACTCATTTAGTGTTGATTTACAGAAAGTGGATTGAACAGAAGGAAACCAGTTTATCATTAATTGAAAGAGATTTTCTGATTACTCTCATCGGATGGTTTGGGTAAAAGTTTCCTAACTACGAAAATCAGAAGTACAAAAACGATTGCCACAAAAAATGACTGTTTATTACAAATCAGCAAACCATTGACATTCATTAAGCATATAAAAAATCGTAGCGTTAATCAGTCCAAAATTAAATATGTATGCCAAATCCATGCCATCAATGAAAAGAAACTTGAAAAATATATAACTTATATCAAGGAAACTTTTCCCAACTCTCTATTGTACTTCATTATAGGAAAGTGGAACTTAAAATGCTCTTCTTCCCGATATCCGAAACATTTCTGAAAATACTGACATGTTTTATGAAAAGCAAAGATGGTTTTTTATGCAACCACAGTATTATCTTAGTCCAGAGTAAATCAATTTCATTTGTACTTTTACTGACTTAATTCTAGTGTGAAACATACACATTGTTAGTGATTGTACCACTTGAAAAGCTGTGTTCGATATTCAATTTGACACTATTTTATCTGAGTCAACCACGATATTTATATATTCATAAAAAAAAGTGTGAATAAATTTACATAAATAAGTGAGTGTATTGTAAATAAATTGCAAAAATTTTTATTTCATACACGACATGAAATATATCTAATGTTGTGTAAATGATAATGAAAATATCACATCATAAAATACAATTTTAGTCTTGTGACAAAATAACTTTGACGGAGAATACTGACCTAATTATGGTTGTGTAACAGTGATTTCTATCTGGATCATTTGATATTGATGATGTACACTAAAACGATCATTTCTCATTAGTATGTTTCACAAAATCAAAGGCAAGATAAATAGTATATATATAAATGAATATTTCTGAGGAAATCATTCACATTAGTTCATCGCATTTCGTGAACAAAATATCAGTAATATTTTAGTTGAAGGGAATATGTGTAAATTGTACAATTTTCATAGTTTCAATCATGAACTGATCCTCATGGATGACAAAAACTTATGGGGAAATTATCAATGCTTCAATAGTTCCATTAACATAGAATGAAATTATGTATGAACATTTGAATACATTTTAAAGAATAGTTTAAACAGAACTTACTTCTAATTACACATAAAATTTGAGTGAAATAACATGCAGGACGAAAATTTAAATATAACTGTATGTGTGCTGAGGTCATATTAATCATTACTCCATGTTTTTGAATGAGTAGAACAACACAGATATAAGTGAACAATATTGTTTTCAATTAGATCATCAGGCTTTAGACTTCAATATACCAATTATATAAATGAAACAATCTAACTGTAGAGATAGGGTGATTATTGAGTTTCACTGAAATCATGGATCGATTCATTTCAGACCACTATTACAAACCCTGAAGCACTGGACGGCTGTTTCTTCCTGGTATGAGACTCATCAGTAGTGTGCGCATGAGGAAATCGAACTCAGGACCTTCAGCCTCTGAGAACACAATGGATGGGATCGCGAAATACCGTGGATTGATCGAAATTATATATAAACTTCGTCGGATGCCGGTTTGGCAGTCGAGAGGTTAAGTTTTCGCGCGCGAGACCGAATTTCTTGGGTCTATTTCCTGCGTGCAGGATAGCTGATACCTACTGCTGATGGGTCCCATAAGGGAACCAAACAGTCTTCCAAAGCTTCCAGATTTCTAATAGTGTTCTAACAGTGACTAGTTGATGATTTCAATTATTTAACTAATCAAGACAATTTAGGAGTCAGTGATAAAAGTCGAACAAAGAGTTCACATTGATAGCGTGATGACAGGTTCACTGGTTATGATTGGAATAATAAAGGTTTAAATTAATATTACATAACAGAGAGTAGATCAAACGGTTTGGAAAACTAGACACTGGAATAGCATTCATTAAACTATAGATTAAGTTTTAAGAAGTGTTCAGATTATTGGATATTGAGGTGTTTGTTGTTAGACAATAAGTGAGGTTCGAAGAAAGAAGTAAGATAACGGATAAAGAGTATGGAAAATCATGACAATAAATAAGTAAAAGTTTTTTTTAAGGTCATTTCGATCAAAGAAGAGATGAAGTTATCGCTAATTGATTAAGTATGATAAAACTTAGATGCATATTATTTTGATCATACCTTTCGTAACCACGAACGGAGGTATTCGCTAATTCGTTGGCTTAGTTGCCTGGTTGCACGCTCAGTATGGCTTTATCCACAGGATCAACTGGATTTGTAGATATACATGGATTTTTCAAAACCTATCAACCTTTCCTTTAGTTGAGGAAACGACCGGTGTGTATTGGTTGCATTAAACGCCCTCTTCATTCATTGCTTTAGTCACTTTATCTTGGAGAACGTCACCGACTATATCTGCTTTGAATTGTGGCTTCAGGAAGACAGGTTTCTTATTCACCGTTAACGTCTCTACTTTCCTGTTCACTGTATTCAGATTTTTCCTCGGGAAACCGTATAAATACGCATTCGAATGGACATATTACGAAAGAACTCCGGCTTTTTTAATGGCGTCCTCTGAGTAAATTTTCATATCTCTAATTACAGGATATCTAACTAGGTTTAGCACGTAATGAGTGGGTACAAAGCTCAAGAAACGTGTATACTGGCTAGCCGAAAAACTTTTTCTATCAGTTTCCCATTTAACTACTCGTGTTCCACGATAGAAATGAGACCTAAAACGTCTTTAATTTTTCTGTTAACAACTAATTTGTGTGGAGGATCCACGGTTCGAACTAATCATCTTTTCACTATGTTCATCTTCAAAATAGTACCAGTTGGACATAACTCTCATAAATTCTAGATTAACGATACGTCGGTTTATGAAATGAAGTGAGTTCAAGGGAAAAAAGTGTAACAGAATTTTTTTATTTCTAATTAGATATCGTGAGTAGTAAACATTAGTAAATCTCAGTCTTATTTTTGTTCACCAATTTTCTAGAGAATTGGTTTACTATAGATCTACAATCTTATCGAGATGTGCTATTCTAATGGATAAACCAATAGTTTCATACAATTAGTCCCATTTTTTTTTAATAAATTTCAATAGTAAGATGAGAATATTCAATTGATCTAAGAACAATCTGATTTATTCACACACTAAATCAACATTTCAAAATGATAATCTGATCACACATTTATCTGTAAACTGGTAAAGGTCAACTGAATGAAAATTTCGATACATCTAATGTGATAATACGTGGATATAAAATATTGAATAGAATAGGTTGTCACATCTCATTCCCAAAACTTAAAATAGGCTAAAGAATATTAGGACAAACCGAAGGCTAAAATAATTTGTTTCCTTGTGCATAAACGGAGTTTAAATTTGCTAATTCTTTTAAAATAGGTGTTACATTCTAGTAAATCATATGTTGTGTTTTGTTGTAATTAAAAATTATGAATCTTATGTAATCTTTGCATTCACTAAGAACAGTTACAACATCAACTGAACAACACGATGCCATATTAAGCACATATTCTATCACTTTCTATTTCAAAATTCTATTACTTTATCAAATAAATACATAGTGAGGTGTGACGTAATCATTTTTGCAATATTTACCTTTGTAGAAAATCATGAGCTACACCAACTCAGTAACAATAAATTTTTACGGAATAACTTGTGCAATTTAGATTTACTGTGCAATAATGAATAAATCATTGTTAGACCACCGTTAGAAACGTGAAAGCACTAGAAAGCCGTTTTGTCCTGGTAGGGGACTCGTCAGCACTGCACATCCACAACTCCTACAAGTCGCAGGATTCGAACCTACGACCTTTGGTCTTGCGCGGAAGCGCTTATCCTCTAGACCACTAGGTCGGCAGCATCCAAAGCTGGTAATGTCTAACTCTGATCAATCTAATGAGTTTTTGCTCAGCCTGCGAGTAACAGGAGTCGAGGATGCTCACTGTTGATGAGTCCCATACTAGGACAAAACGACTCTCCAGTTCTTCCAGGTTTCTAATAGTGGTCTAACATTGTTTCATTCATAATTTTCAGCTAAAACTATGATCTCTATAATACTTTAATGCAAAAACAATATAGATTACTTAAATGTATTTTAAAGAGCTTAACTCAAATGACCCTAAACTTAAACTATTAATGACAGTGTCACTCATGCGAGAAGTTAACACATTCATACACCTTGTTGTATGCGAATAAGCAATGTACAATATATATATATATATATATATATATATATATATATATATATATATATATATATATATATATATATATATATATATATATGCGAGGAAAGAAGACAAAATGCTTTATTGATTAAAATGCATAGATATAATGGACAGATAAATAAACTGAGACAAACCCAAAATGTTGGAGTTTTTAACATGGGAAATTTGATTGGTTGAATTGTTGAATTATTATTGAAACATTGTTAAAAATGTTTTTTTAAAAGTAATAATAATAATAATCATAAAATTGATAACAATCAATTCTTTCCTACACTGTATGTCCAAATAGAATAGGAAATAACTGCATCGAATCTAGTAGGCAGTTTTATCTGAAATCCTCTATTCGCACAACAAACACACATGAGAAATACCAAATGAGTAAAATCAACTTGAAAAAAATGTAACTCTTTTTTTAAGCAATTCGTTTGACAAAGAGATCTTTCGCACTAACTTCATTTTTAGAGTTAGATATAGTTTTACGTAAAAATGTTCGACAAATTCTAGTTTAATGAAAGGCTGTATGTTTGCAAGAATTTGACTAATCATTTGACGTGCCGAAATCCGACTAGGTAATTTTAAAGGCATTGAAAAAGGGCATTTATGAAACATTAAAAATATCCATGGTTCAATAGGATGAACAAAGTCACTCCGAAAAACAAACTGGTCAAGAATCACTTTTATGAGGAGAACGCGATTAGTTTAATAGAACCATTCATTATTATAACCAAATTGCACCAGTGATTGTTTTACTGCACTTTTTGTTTGTTACACTCTGTACGCGCAAACATTCTATTTGTGTTGCTGCGATTTTTGCTCCACCATCTTTGTAATTTCGCCGCTCTTTTCTGGCACGATTACGGTATTCTTTCGATACCACGAAATCGCCAGCAAATACACTCTTTACTGTGGAATAACTCTTCTTCTCAGTGATGGGTTCGTAATCGGTGTAGTGGTGATCATGGTCAATCGCGACTTGATAAAGCTTTCACTTTCTTCTCACACCAAAGACCTTCGTTTAAATTATCACCTATTTTCGCTTACCTATTATTATGCTTTTCCTAATCATACAAATTCAACCTCAATTGGCAAGGGTAATTTTACATTGATTTTCAAGAGAACCAGACACTGTCTACGTGTTAACACTACAACATGAACAGTACAGCTCAGTCCTGTGGAGTAACCACATAAGTGCCTGACAGC